CTGGAATGAGGCGTCTTCTCTTTAGTGGTACAGGAAATGAATTTGATGGTTCCCACCTTCATCATTTTGAGGCAGCTGCTCTTCTGATGCAACCGTGTTTTTTTTTTTTTCTGTAACGTGGCACGAATACTCTAATATTCGTAGTTGTAGACATTTCTGTTTGGTTGAGGTTTAGAGGAAATCTCTAAGCAAAGACTGACACAGGTAGATAAAGGAAACAAAAAGAGTTCAGAGCAGGCGGTGGAGGCAGAGAGACATGATGATATGATGACATGACGACATGATGATATGACGATATGATGACATGATGACATGATGACATGATGATATGACGACATGACGATATGATGATATGATGACATGACGACATGATGATATGATGATATGACAATATGACGACATGACGACATGACGACATGATGATATGATGATATGACGACATGATGATATGATGACATGACGACATGATGATATGATGATATGACGACATGACGACATGATGATATGATGACATGACGACATGATGATATGACAATATGACGACATGACGACATGATGATATGATGATATGACAATATGACGACATGATGATATGATGACATGACGACATGATGATATGATGACATGACGATATGACAATATGACGACATGATGATATGATGACATGATATGATGACATGACGACATGACAATATGACGATATGACAATATGACGACATGATGACATGACGACATACATATCTTGATCAAATAGAACTCCTAGATTCCTAACAGTGGTGCTAGATGCCAGGCTGATGTCACTAAGGACAGTCAAATCACTAGAAAAAGTCTCTCTGAGGTCTTTAGGGCCTAGCACAATAATTTCAGTCTTGTCTGAGTTAAGTAGCAAAAAATGTCTGGTCATCCAGGTCCTAACGTCCTTAAGGCACGTTTCTAGCTGACATAACTGACTGGTGCCATCGGGCTTCATTGATACATAAAGCTGAGTATCATCTGCATAACAATGAAACTGTATGGAGTGTTTCCTCATAATATTTCCCAGAGGAAGCATATATAATGTAAAGAGAATTGGTCCAAGCACTGAACCTTGTGGGACTCCATGGCAAACTTTAGTGTGCATAGAGGACTCATCATTAACATGTACAAACTGAGATAGGTCTGATAAGTAGGATTCAAACCAACTTAAAGCAGTCCCTGTAATTCCAAGCATATGCTCCAGTCTGTACAACAGGATCTGATGGTCAATGGTGTCAAAAGCAGCACTAAGATCTAACAAGACGAGCACAGAGAGAAGTCCCCTGTCTGAAGCTAGAAGTAGATTGTTTGTAACTTTAACTAGTGCAGTCTCAGTGCTATGGTGGACTCTAAATCCTGACTGAAACTCCTCAAATAAACTGTTGTCATGGAGAAAGTCACACAGCTGATTAGCTACCACCTTCTCCAGGATCTTTGAGATAAAAGGAAGGTTGGATATAGGCCTATAGCTAGCTAGAGTTCCTGAATCTAGAGTAGGCTTTTTAAGTAGAGGTTTGATTACCGCTACTTTAAATGACTGTGGTACATAGCCTGCCAGTAAAGACATATTGATCATATCTAATATAGAGTTGCTGTCATGTCCAGCTCGGTGTCTTAGGTTGTTTTTATTTCTACTTGTATTATTTCCTGTTTTGGGTCACTAACCTCTCCTCTCGTTTCAGATCCTTCACTTCCTGCCCTCATGTGTTTACCACCTGTGTGATTGTCTGCCCCGCCCTGATTGTTCCCAGCTGCATCTCGTTGTCTTCCCCCTCACCCTAGTAGTTAGTCTGTGGCTACCCTTCCTTCTGTGCCAGTTCGTCTTCGACCCCTGTGAGAAGCGTTCAAGCCTTTTGTTTCCTCTTGGATCACTTTTTTGGATTCTGTCTGCTTAAGAAGTAAAGACTGTTTTTTTTCCCCCAACCAAAGACTGCGTTGTGAGTCGTGCTTTTGGGTTCAGTTACCTGTGGTTTTGTTACAGTGGCTAACTCAGGGAAAGACTTCCTTAAACAGCTTGGTTGGGATTGGGTCTAAAAGACAGGTTGACGGTTTCGATGCAGAAAAAATGGAATATAGCTCTGAAAGGTCAATTGGAGAAAAACAGTCGAGACTAATATCTGGTCCTGGAACTGTCTCTGCCGTGTCAGACGTATCTGCACCAGGTAAGGGCAGGAGGTTACTAATTTTGTCTCTGATGTCTAGAATTTTGTTGTTGAAAAAGCTCAGGGAATCATTACTGAAAAACAAGAACAACAACCACATAGAACACAGACGCATAGAATCAGACAATAGAAACAACAGACACCTGTTGTTTCATGGGTGCCTGTGCCAATGTTTTATGTGAAACGGGGACGTTTCAAGTTGAGGGGGGACATATGTAACAGATTGTGTGCATTTGTTGACAAACAAAGGGTGAGGAAGCCGGCAGAGACGCTGTGAGAAGATGAGGAACCACGCAGACTCAAAAGGTACAGTAATATTACCAGATTTTGATGGAGCCTGAGTGTCTGCAGCCCGTTGTCTAGTTTGTTTATTCAACTGTTACCATGACAACTATAGGTCGTGGATAAATGGCTACATAGATCGGTTTGTAAGGTTACAAACTTTTTGGAGACAAAAGTAAAGCTGCTAAACGTGAGACAATGATGACATCACCGGTAATGACACAGCTCAATCTGTAATAAATGATGTCTGCAGGGATGTTCATTCTGCCGTATTACAGACTTGTTAGGCAGTAGTATAACCAGTTTGCAACCCTATGTAGAAAGTTACGTTATATAACGGTCTGTTTGTGCATTGCTGATGTAACCCCGTGTGTTCTGGCTCTGTATTTACAGACAAATTAACAGAAACCGATGAATTGTGTTGAGAGCCGGGATCAAACATCTCCCCTGATAAAATAAAAAAATGTGTGATTTAGGAGAGTCAGAGTCAGAACATTAACATTCACGACTAATGAATAACTTTATGAATATTATTCAAAACTCCTCAGAACTGATACGGGATGAATCGAATATGATCAGTAACTGAAAACCACAGTTTGATTTCATCCAAACAACTAAAAAATACTTTAAAATGTGTTTATAGACGGAGCGTGAATCATCATTAACCTACCTCCGACCAAGCTGTCAACGGCTCTGACCACATTCCTCCATCATCACTCACACTGTGGTAATTCTAGAGTCTCTTGGGGATTATTCCTCTAAATTTTACTTTGTCGACTTTCAGAAACAAATTTGGGTTTTCAAAGCAATAATGGATGTGACACTTAGCAGGGCAACAACAGTGAGTGCTGTCAGATGGGGCCCCCTTAGGGAGGTGTCCTACTGTCATTTTGGGCCATTGCTTTGGTTTACATTTGTGAGCCCTGAGGGGCCCCTACTGGTCTGGGGCCCCAAGCAGCTGGGGTACACACACACAGACTCCAGAATAATCTACCCAGTACTTAGTGGTTTTTTAATGGTTGAAACTTTAACCACGTTATTTTTGCATTTCAGCATGAGCATACAAAATAAAGTTTGGGTTTGGTGCTACATTACGGAAATTTCCTACCAACATAACTTGAACTGCTCTTCTGCTGTTGCTCGTTTGGAGCAACAAGTGGTTCATCCATGCCATGATTGATGGTTAGTTTTTTACTGTGCCAATACACACATGATCAGAACATGTGCTGCTGTGAAATGTGAAATTTCTTCCAGTTATGTTTGTTGAACTCGAATATTTCTGCCAAATAACTTACTCTAATAATTCAAAGGAATATATTATGTTAGAATGAGTGTTTGTTTTCTATTTAATCTTCGTGCTGGATGTGAACATTGTTATTCATGACATGTTTGTGACCCTGTATAAACCAGCTCTCTCAGAATGCTCCGTTTTGGTGTGTGTGTCTCTTTAAATGCAATGACATCACTCCTCTGTAGTGAGAATAAAAATGGCGGACCTGCGCAAAAGTTTTTTTTTTTTTTTTTTTTTTTTTTTTTAGTCTGGGGGTGGAGTCCATGGGTGGAGATACCAGGGGAGGGGAGGGGATTTGTTTTTTACCAGAATCCCACTGTGACATCACAAGGAGATCACATTTGAAACGGAGCATTTTTCTCTGTGTTGTAAGACTTATGCAGACCACAAACAAAGGACTGGATGGGTTTATTTCACATGTTGTGGGTCAGTAGACACTCAGGTTACACAGATATATGTTCAGAAACATAGTACAAGTGGATTTTAAATAATATGTCCCCTTCAGGATTTTAAAAGTCGTTTAGTGTGATAAGCTTTAGTAGAATTAGGACGCTTATGATCTGACGAGGCTTAAATTTCTAGCTCCGTCCTCCCGATAGTTTAGAACTAAAGAAGGTGAAACCACTGAAACAAACAACTTCAAGATGATTTCTTGGTGTGCATACTGTTCATTTATTGGTATAAAGCTTAAACACAGCTTGAGCAAACAGGAGCATCTTAATATATAATTTTCAGGTAAAACAGCAAATACATTTTCACATGAACAATGAGGACTTTAAATTTCCAAAGCGAAGCACATTCATATAAAATCCATTAACTCTAAAAACTGAAAGTACAGCATTGAAAAAACACAACAGAAGCAAAATACATGATAATCACAATTCACACATTTCCTCATTAAGTATTCACCATGACGACCGTGTATTTACAAAGGACGTCACACCTACCAGGAGCTAGGGAGTAAGATTTAAAGATCACGTATCCTCCTCCTCTTTAACCAGTTTAAATAATTCTCAGAGCTCCTCAAAACATGTGTTTCTTGTTCTAAATCCACTCTGATCCTGTATTTGATCATGTCTATAAACCCCTCTATTTCAGCCCTGCTCTGAACAGGCTGTTTCTGTGTCTGTACCTTTAAATATGTAAATGAGCTGTGTCTGACCACGCCCCCTCTCTGGAAGGGCTTGGGTGTACTCGGTCTTTCTCGCTCCATGTCCTATTGTTTACGGTGAGAAGGCAGACTCAGAGGGCAGAACAAACACCTAGCTGTGGGAGTGTCACCCACCTGGGGGAGGGGCTACTACCCTTTGTGATGTCATGAAGGGAACTCCGTCCTGAATTAGTAAGTCATTCTCAACTCTCTCTCTCTCTCTCTCTCTCTCTCTCTCTCTCCCCTGTTTCTAACTCTATCCACTGTCCTATCTCTAAATAAACGCATAAATGCCCGAAAATACTAATAATTAAGAAAATAATAAAAATAAACCTTCCTTTAATTTATTTCAAATAGTTTTGAATGGCAAGAAATTAGTTTTTAGTAAATTTTCTTTATCCAAGTTATTTTTTGGACGCCCTGGAAGAATTGGCCCCCTCCTGTTTTTCATTCTTCTTCAGGATTCTTTTCCTCTTTATTACCACATGAAAGCAAAACGCCTTTGTAGAAATTAGTTTTTTTTTTTGCTTGGACATAATTGTTCCCCTAAATTTGCCTCCCTATCTTTACTGCGTTGGCTCTTGCAGGTTTCTGAGAAACTCCTCAATTTCTCTGCACATTATTCCTCTGTCTTTATTCTTCTCCAGGCTTCTGATGCTTTTCTTACGGAAGTAGGAATTTTCGGGTATTGCTGCTGCGTTCATGTGATACTGTGTCGACCTGTGGAAATCATTTAGATTAAAGAATAAGTAATCTGCATATTTGTTGTAAAGCATCTGTTTTTCTCCCGGTTCCAGATCACTGTCCAGCAGCTCCTGATATATCTGCTCAGCTTTGGCCTTGCTGTGATGTGACTTTGCATAGATAGCTGTGAGGTCAATTTTCTTTAAGAGTGAAGAGTGAGGGTAAAGAGAGATGACGTCCTCATGGAGACTGATGGCTCTGTCCATCACGCCTGGTCTTAGGGGGCCCCCCCTGATGTACAAAATCTTTTTTCTGTAGCAGAGTGCAACCCATCTCTTCAGATAACGCTGATCTGGATGTTTTAGCAGAGCCTCTTCTCCCAAATCAATGGCCTCATCAACACCTAAGTACCATTGGTAAACCCTTAATATTTCTCTCACACAATCGTAGCTACAGACAGGACTTCTCAAAACCTGTTCGGCTATCTCACGGACTTGATCTCGAATGTTTTCACCTTTATTAGCACATTGCTCAAGGTAGAGAACAGCAAGGTACAAATTCTCTGGATCCTGTTCCTTGGCTTGTCTCATTCTCTCCAAGAGGTCAGGGTCCAGCCTTGTGTTGTTGTACTCATCAGGGTCCAGACTTGTGTTGTTGTGCTTATGAGCATTGACTGACGCTATGACATAGCTGGTGTTCCACTCCACCATGTCCGGCTGCATCCTGGCAGCTTTCTCAAAGTAATCAACAACCAGAATCATGTCCTCTCTTAAGAACATCAGGGTCCAGGCCTTTTCAGCGTAGATCTCTGGATGGAGCTCGTCCTGGGATGGAGATGGGTATTTTTCCATCAGGGCATCAACCTTTGACAGGTAAGCCTGACTCTCCTCTAGCTCTCCCAGGTGGTGGTGCAGCCAGGCCAGGTTCCCGTAGTTCACCACTAACCAAGCACCCTCATCTGCATCTCTCAGCTTGTTGAGGGTCTCTGCAGCCTTCTGGAACAAACTCTTAGCCTCTTCATTTAACCCCAGCTTATACTGAATGAACCCCCACAGGTTGTAAATGTGGCCCAGCCATCGATTTCCCTTCTCTGTGCGGATGTCTTCCATCTTGTCCCTGAGAAGTAATAGGATTGACCTTTTGCGGTCCAGGTTCCAGGTGAAGTGGCACTGCAGGGACTCCAGTGTGGTTTGACTCTGAGCAGCACTGATGGAGAATACAAAAACAAACATTTAAACACATCAGCAGCAAAAACATTTTTGCTTTGAAGTGTGCTATATTTGGATGTTTACTGTTCGTCTCCCATGAAGAAAAGAAGATGTTTTAAATGAGCACTATGTAACTCAGACACCTAGTGTTTAAAATGAGTACTGCAGTTAAAATTCTCAACATTGTAGAGAGCTGTCTCCCCCCACCCCTCCATCTCCAATTTTGAACTTAAACCCTTTTCACACATGGAAATCTCCTGAAAAACTCCAGAGATTAGGCTTCCCGGAGGGTCTTTAGGCTATGTGTGAACGCAAACAGTCAAATTTGACTGAGTGACTGCCTGAAGTGTCTGCACGCCACCACTACGATCTCCGTGCTCTAATTAAACGGCTGCCTTCTGTTTTCTGTTCGTCAGTATGTTGTTCTCCGCTTTTTTGTGAATGTTGTCATTCCATTGGATTACACATAGCATTGATATAAAGACAAATATTCTCATTATAACGTTGTGTAGCTACTTCCGCGTTGTTTATTTACGTCACGTCTTACCTCAGGAAATCCCCCGCCCCCCCCTCCCCTCTGACAGGGAAAGTCCCCCGCTGAGAGGAGCATATGTGAACGGCTAGGTCGGGAGAATCTCCGGAGCAGTCCTCCTGCAATTATCTAGATATTATTCGGGGTGCATATGTGAAAACGGCTATAGTTTGAGCACGTTTCTGCTTGTGGAGCTTATTGGAAACATGCAAACAGAAACAGACTTTTTAGGTCGGGTGCAATCACTTCTATCTGAACCAGGGGGGTCTTAAAAGCGCCTACCTTCTCTGGTCCAAACAAATCCAGAGCATTCAGGAGCAGAATCTAAAGTTAGAAGGAGGACATACTGGCTGCTGCATTGTTGTCAGAGAAGCCAGCACTTCAACATAGCATGTTTCCTTAAAGGGATACTTCACCCATTAGCATTAATCTTTGTATCATTAGAGACCTGGTAGTATTTTTGAATGGTCGTGCATCCCGCCCTCATTTTCCCCTGAGATGGGAAATCTTTGTATTTCTGAGTCTGTAAAGGAGCTTCCAGTGATGCAAAAATCGTCATTTTGCGTCACTTGAAGCTGTTGCGTTTAGCGGGGTGAAACTACAACGCTAGTTCCTCATATTTTTGACCACTGAAGCTACAGACAAATCACAGATCAGTGGGTGGGACCTCACTCCCAGAATCGAGACTTAACATCCGCCATATTGCTTGGAAGCTATGCTAACAGGCTCTATGGAGAAAGCTGATAATGGTATATAAATATAGTGGCGAGATGGCTGCTGCCGACAGGCCGGCCTTGTATCTTGGCTGCTGCCAGTGCCTGCCGCCGGGGCCGCCGCTGGCCGCTGGCCGCTGGCCGCCACTATATTGCTATATTGCTGGACATCACCTGCTGCTGCCAGCTCAGCAGCCGAATCTGTCAATACAGATTCATGTTTCAACAGGTGAAGTATCCCTTTAATGTCTGATCATATAGTAAGGTCACTTTATCATTTCAGTCACTACACATCTCACTGATTAGACCTTTAACACACATTCCCCACAAAATGTAACTTCAGTTTTTTTATATCCTGAATGTAACTGAACTAAACTTTTAACAAGGGGAGATATGGAAGAAGAATAGAGACTCAAAGAGGCGTTAGTATTTGACATTTTGGGATCAGAATGCATGAGGGTGATACACTAGAAAGAAATGGGCTTACCATTTGGTCAGCAAACATGGGTCCAAAGTTGGCCACATTCTCTCTGTATGGAGCTAACCTACGGCTTTTCATCAACCTATTTGGGTTCTCCATGGTAATAGGGGACAGTATTGGCCTGCTCCAGTTGGGTATTCTAGATAAACCTGATAGCAGCCCCTCTGGGCCCCAACATGGCTGGGTATTGGTGTGCAAATATAGAGCAACAAAATGACGAATAATGTGCCCTCTAGGATACTGTAGTTACCAGATAGGCGGCCTTGCGTTCTAGACAAAGTTAGGAATTGTTGTCTCTGCTCCACAGATATGGACCAATCCACTTTGAGATATATCCCCACAGCATGTGTGAGTTTAGGCCTGTCAAATAATCAAGTGCATAATATGCATATGATGTGGAATTTATACCCCGATTGCACCCTTTTCTGAGACTACATATTCAGACTTTCCAAAGGGACTTGCCGTATCGTAAGAACTCTGAGTCATTTTATAAATCATTGTGCAACCTGATATAAAATGTATGAACTTTGAGCCTTTATACTGCTGTTGCTGCAGAATGGACATTGGAAACACTGTAATCTAAGATAAGTTTACTTTTGCAAGAATAATTCAGCAAACAAAGATTCATTTGAGCCTGGCTGAGGTGGCAGAAAAAAAAAGCATAAGAATCTTTAAAATGACAAAAATGAATCATGAATAAGCGTGGGGGGAATAAAAGGAGCAGAAGAAAGGAGGTTTGAGAGCTAATGAAGAGATATTTAAACAAAATTGTGTGCAAGATATTCTGAATTGTTCATGCAGACACTCACCTCATCTTGCTGTTTCTTCGACTCAGTGTGTCTCTGAATATAACTTAAACAGATGTTTGCTCTTGATGTAGCTTCGATTCCGGTGTCCAAATTCTGCTGCGATGTAAAGGCTGTGATGGCTTTTTTCAGCAGATTCAAATCTTCTGCAGTCGATGCAAATTTTCAAAGGCGTGTCATATATCTACCATCTCTGTGTTATCTGACTTTCCTTTCCGAGTAATAAAAACATAATGACACACATTATGGGCGGCTGTGGCTCAGTTGGTAGAGTCGTCACCTCTCAACCGGAAGGTCGAGGGTTCAATAAGCTTTGAGTAGTCGGAAGACTAGAAAAGCACTTTATAAGCTCAAGTCCATTTACCATTTACCATTACATAAGTCTGTCAAAGCAAATAATAATGGATAGCCATGATTCATTAAAGGAGAGAAGTGTAACTCTATTTCAATTTCAAAACATTGTAGAGCTGTCTCCCTGGAGCTTATTAGAAACATGCAGAGGCTTTTTAGGTCGGGTCGCCTTAAAAGCGCCTACCTTCTCTGGTCCAAACAAATCCAGAGCATTCAGGAGCAGAATCTAAAGTTAGAAGGAGGACATACTGGCTGCTGCATTGTTGTCAGAGAAGCCAGCACTTCAACATAGCATGTTTCCTTAATGTCTGATCAGATAGTAAGCTCACTTTATCATTTCACTCTCTACATATTCTTACTGATTGGACCTTTAACACACACACATTTCCCCACAAAACTAAACAGCTTCATTTTTTTTAAATCCTAAATGTAACTGAACTAGACTCTTAACAAGGTGACATAAGGAAAGGAGACTCAAAGAGGTGTGACAAGGCGTTGGTATTTTACCGTTTGGGATCAGAGGGCAACACCACACCATTTGGACTACAAACTGTGAGTAGCTTGGAGCTAATTAATGGAGAATACCATATGGTGTCATTTGATCAGCATCCACTGAATATCTCCACAACTCTTTCTATTTAATACTTCAAGTTAAACTCTTTGACCTATGAGTCTGGATTTGGTGGTTGAGGGAACATCCTCCTCCCAGCTGGGAGTCTCTGCAGAGTGTATGTTTAGGAAGAGATAATTGAAACGTTGAGGCAGCCATTTGAAATCAATTTATTTAGCAGAAAAAGCTCCAGTGCAAAGACAGTGATACAAATAAATTGATAGTTGATAAGCCAGAAAGGTCCCGAAAAACACATCATAGCCAACAAGTGATGATCAAGGCTGCTGGAGATTTACTTGCTTTTACCACTGCACCATGCACCATGCACCATGCACCATGCGTCTGTTTGGAGTGTTGGCTGTGCATGTAATCAGAACAGTAATGCCACGTGGTTGCAATATGCAGTATGTACGTGACCAGTAGAGGGGATGTAAGAGGGTCAACAATGGCAATGAGCAAGTCTGCAGTTATTGACATCTGTACGACGTGTCAAAGACAAACTTGCCTTTCAAACTAACTGGAGATGGATTAGTTCCAGTGTTTTATAATCAACATGTCCGAACTGTAACGTTAGCACGCGGAGGAAAGACTATTAGTGTCCTCCTCCAGTTACAGGTGAAGTGACTAGCCAGGATTGTTGACAATTACATTCCTTGACGCAGACGGTGGTGTATGCAAACGGAAGGTCAAAAGGCAAATATATATCTCCAGCCAGTCTTCAAAATAAATGATCCGAGTACAAATATATAAAACAACAAAATACCCAACAAATCAAAAGAATCCCTTTAACCTGAGTTAAGCTCTGTGTCCACCTGCCGTTTTTTCCGGGCAGTTAAGCGCAGGCTGTGCGCTGGTAAGCACTGCACGTCTGTCCTGTCTCTATGACAACAGCTGTTTGGTGCCGTTGCACCATACAGCTGCTCCGTTGCATTTTACTGCATGTTTTATATTTGAGATTGTTTATTTCCCGATCAGACACGGAGCGAGGAGGATGTGAGTACAAGACGAGATCCTTAGGCAGACAGCGCCTTTCTGAGGAGTTGAAAGATTTTCAACTTGAGCTTGCTGCTGCAAACGCTCTCTACTCATTGAAACAATGAAAGAAAGACGCTCAGTGGACACAGGGCATTATGTTTCAGTAAGTCAACATAATAGATCAAAGTTTAACGTCAAGGCAACAAGAATACACCAAGAATATTTCTGTTATGGCTGATCATCATTCAGCAAGCAGTAAAATCCTCAAATATTGACAGGTCTCAGCTTCACAAAGGTTGTTGTTTCAAAGTAAACGTGATCCGATTAAAAAAAAAAAAAAAAAGTTTTGATGACTGCAAGTGGCCAAAAAAACAAACAATAACTGCAGACTGAAGTAACCCCTGAATCGATGATTTGTGAATTTAAAAGCATAAAAGCATGTATACTTTGACAACAGAAACACTTCACATCAAAAGAAAAACCCAGAAAGCAAACAATAATCACAGAATATATAACGGCATTAAAGAGGAAATGAAATAAAAGCAGGTTACAGCTTTGGACTTTAAGATACAGTAACATGTTAAAACTGATTTCTAGTCATACCAGAGTTGTAAACCAATTTTACTCTTATCATAGCGTAAAAAAACCTGAAAGATCGGTTCTGTTCCCTTTGGCGACCCCTGTGGTTTGAAGCTGTCATTGCAGGTTTGATAAAGTGTCTGTGTCGACCGTTTTCTATCTTTGTCTGATCGCTAACTTTGTTTCTTTCATCTCATGGTCTATGTTTGTTCGGCCTTGGTTGGTTTTTACGAGTGTTGTAGTACTCGAAATCGGTCAAGGTCTCAAGACTACTTTTTGAAGGTCTCGTTCTCGTCTCGGAATCTCGGTAAGACTGGGCGTACTCAGGATTTTTAATGAAGACCACCACTGACAAGCTATTTTTCCACATCATCATTGGGATTAGAAGGAAAACGGCTCTTTTTAAAAGAACAAATAACTTTGATTAATTTGTAGTTTGATTTTGATCCCCCGGTTACGGCCACAACCTTCCCCGTGTCCCTGCACACAACATGATGATTTTTCATTGATATTTATGATGTTGGTCTTGACTATGTCTCGCTCCCTTATTGTCTCGGTCTTGTCTTGGTCTCGGAGCACTCTGGTCTTGGGCATGTCTTGTTCTAGGCTTGACTAATGCACTAGATTTTACAGGCCGTTGTTCCACACAGCTCTGTTCAATTATCCTGCTAAAGACTTACTCACTATCGCACTTTATGGTTTGTTTCAATATAAAGGACATTGTGAATAAAATGTATTATTATATATGTTATTATTATTATCTGTGAACACAGAAACTCTATGAGGTACCGTAAAATCCTGTATTAACACCAATTTTTCATCTAAACGATTGGCTGCGTCCTATACAGTGATTGGACTAATACACAGTACAAAACGCTTACGCACGCCATCATTATCACGAGTGCAGCCGCCACCATGACCCACTGCACGCCACCTGCTGCAAATGAAGATTAATCCCCATTCACTGACACCGAGCGTGACAACCTGCCTGTGTCAACCTAACGACAGGCAGAAACTTGGAGCTGAGGCGGGTTTAAGTCTCTTAACAAACCATTACATGTAGCGTGTAGCTGACCTGTCAATCAGGACAGCTACACGCCTTACAACGGATAACACGTATCGTTTATAAATCAAAACGAATGAAGCGTGAGCCGATCGAGACATGAGCTAATCACACCTATTTGGTTTTTGAACCAGGCTGTAAACATATTAATCTCTGCTGTAAAAACAGGCTTTTTAGAATGGGTGTGTATGTGACTTCCTGTGCTTCTGCCACCAGCCTCTAGGGGACACTCAAGGAACTGCAGGATTTTGCACTTCTGCATCGGCTTCATTTCTCAATACCCTAGGTAGCCGCTTGGTCTGTGGGCTACTTCACAACTTTCATCGTAGGATGAGATCTGAAATAGCCTACCGTAGCTAGTAAGGGTGCAAACGCCATGAAGTGAAAATGGACGGAAATAAAAGAGCGACATAGCTGCACAGAAACTGCACATTGTAGACTTCGCTGAACACGATTGAAATTGTCACGCAGGACTACACTTTACTCTTACTTTATAAGACTGTCTTATGTAACGGTGCGATTTATTCTCCGGATTTTACGGTATTTTATATATATATATATATATATAAGTATTGTTTATCATAGATATCATTTATTTTATAATATATCACAATAATATAATAGCTATTCCAACTTCCACAGTTGGAGATATGTATTAAGACACTTTAACTGCATATAATGTCGATTTTCATTTAAGATTTTTGTGTTATTTTCTGACCTTTGAATCAGTCATCTTTTTAGTGTTAGATTTTCTGGTGTAAATAACAGCTTGGGTAAATCTTTAGTTTGAAGCAGTATAGGGGTGAACTCCCTTTTTTTTTTCGTTTTCGGGGACCAGTGAGGGAACACACAGAAGCCTGGCTCAGAATGCAGGATAATCGGGCCGATTTGAGGTTTGATTCCTGCTTCCTGACAATTGCACGGCTGTTCCCGACTCTCCAGCTTCTCTGAACCGATTATCCGGTAGTGTGAGTCGTATAAAGATCCTATCTGAACGCCCCTGATTTGCTCAAAGAGCGTCGGGGCTGCTCCAACTTTTGTTTGATATGCGGCACTGGTGGCGCAGTGGTTAGTGCGTGCGCCCCATGTATGGAGGCTGTAGTTTTCCAAGCGGGTGGCCCAGGTCCTTTCCCGCCTGTCATTCCCACTTTCTCTTTCTCTGATTTCCGACTCTATCCACTGTCCTGTCTCAACTGTAATGCATATAACAGTTACAATCTGACCTCCTGCTCTCACTGAAGAACAGACAACCCATGTTGTCTGCGTCTCCCCAGACATTTTTTCACCCGTTTTTGTCATCTCTGCACGAAGCATTAAAATCACAAATTCGAGGTAACGTGAGGTGGTGCGTTGATAATCAGGGCACGATTATCTTGGTAAATCCCATAAATCTGTGATGTGCCATGATTTTCATATCTTGTAGTGAGTGCATGAGCAAGGTTATGGAGAAAAATATCTGTTAAGATTCTCCTGATGTGTGTGATGCTGCAGTCAGATTTAGTTTTCAGTATTTTTTCTAAATCTGGGCTAACGGATTTGGCCTCACTGTCTGAATCCCCTCTAGAGATTTTGTTTAGACGGGGGAACTTCTTCAGAGACAGTAACAAAGCCACGAAGATGAGAATACTGAAA